TCCTCTTGCGTTGACTTGCATGTTTGGGTCCTTTTACTTCCCCCATTAAAAAACTTTAAAGGGGCCAAAAAGATAATACAGTGGGTAGAGCTGTTTGCCTTTCGTGACTGGGTGGAGCGTTTGCCTTTGTCAGACCGACGCAGGTTCAGTGCCGGGCACCTAGCATGGCCACCAGTGACCCTTGGGCCTGGAGCCAGGAGTAAGCCCTGAGCACTGCCAGGAGTGACCCCAAACCAGATCTATCTGTAGGACTGCAGAGATGACATGGGCGCTGAGCTTCCACCCTGGCACTGCATATGGTCCGCAAGCCCTTCCAGGAGTGACCCCTGAGCACAGAGTCAGGAATAGGCCCTGAGCACTACCCCCACCCCCAATAAAAGGGCAAAGAGGTGTGGCAGGAAGAGGCAGGAACTGGGAATCCGAGGACTTGCAACTGCGGGTCTCCCCAGTGTGTTTCCGGGAGGTGCTGCACCCCCAGCCCCGCCCCTGAGAGGAAGAGGCCCCCCACACCTCTCCAGGCCCCACATTTACTTTGGAAATTGCAGATCAGGTGGGCACAGGGCTCTGGGGGTCCCAGGGGACTGGGTGGCCCGTGGGAGCCCCCCCCCCGGATCGCCATCTCCTCTGTGGCAGAGAGACGCTGCAAGCTGGCTGGGGTGGGCTCGTTGGGGGGTCCGCGGTCACGGGGGTCTCAGAGATGCTGTCACACTTCTGAGTTTGAGTTTTCTGAGAAATGTGCAAGCGGCTCGCTGAGTGGGAGGAGTCAGGATTGGTTCCCTGGAGACCGACACGCTCCCTGTAGTTTCCCGGCATACCCCCCCTTCATCACAGCAATCCTCACTTGTTTGAGGGGAGCCCCCTGCCCCCCACACTCTCCTCACCACTTTGCAGAGAGATCCCGGCCTTGCCAGGGTCTCTCTCTCTCTCTCTCTCTCTCTCTCTCTCTCTCTCTCTCTCTCTCTCTCTGTCTCTCTCTCTCTCACACACACACACACACACACACACACACACACACACACACACCTGTGCAGGGCAGGAGGGAAACAGGCTCAGACCCGCTCCCCTGCAGCCCTGCAGACAGCAGAGCTGAAGGCTATAGGGCACCCCCAAAAAAGAAAAAAAATCCCATCAAATCTAATTCAGGCAGCTGATCCAGGTTCGATCCCGGCATCCCGTATGGTCCCCCAAGCCCCACCAGGGGTAATTCCTGAGTGCAGACCCAGGAGTAACCCCTGAGCATCGCTGGGTGTGACCCAAAAACCAAAAATTATAATAATAATCTGATTACCCCAGCATTTCTCATCTGGGGGGCCACGGGGGTCTCCTGTAGGCACCCGCATCCACAACGTACGGTTAGGGCCCATTCACAAGACATGGAGGGTCGCAGGAAGGAAGTGAGGTCAGAAAGGGGCCTTGGTCGGGAGAAGGCTGAGATCCCAGTTTGACCCTATCGTTTTCTGGAATCTTCCAGAGTCTTCACCTAGGAAGCAGCCTCCTTGTTTGGGGAAGGGGCTCCCTGGGGAGATGCCTCACAAGGCCCTGAGTTTTCCCTCAAGCAGCGGACGCGCACACAGGCCCCTGCAGAGCCTTCACGGGCAGCATGGTGCCTGCAGAGCCCACGGGCGCAGTTTCAGGATGGAGGAAGATGCCCCGGATGGGTGCTGGGTGGGGGGTGGCTGCTTGTCCAGCGATGCCCTGGGCCGCCATCGGCCCCTCTCTTGCCCTCGGCGCGGGCCCTGCTGAACTGGGACGGGCACACTCGCTCGGCACGAATACCATCCTGTGTGTACCACGTGCTGCGTGTGCTGGGGGCCACGAGCAGGAGGGCCCAGGCTGTCCCCGGCAGCATCACAGGGGCCAGCAGCAGGCGGCCAGGGGCCCCGCTCTGGTGGTGGACAGAGAAGGAGGCAGAAGAAGGGAGCAGAGCGCTCCTGAGTCGGCCTCTGCGCAGGGCCAGGATGCCAAGTGGAGCCTTTCCCGGAGGGCTGGGACAGGATGGCTGGCAGCACCCCGCAAGGCACCCTCCAACCCTGCCCCCCGCAGTGCTCGCCTGGCCAGACAGGGGTGGGCGGTGGGAGGGGCTGTTACGCTTGGGAATGTTCTAGGGCTCCGGTGCCGCCCCGACCGTGTGCTCCCAGCCTTCCTCCATCCCTGTCATCGCCAGGCAAACAGGGAAAATGATCTCTTTGCGACCCTCCTCCGGGTGATCTTGCCCCCGTCCATCTCTGGGTAATTTATTAAGGAAGATGAATCGGTTTTTGAGTGTGATTTGTAAAGAGCAGGGCCCAGCTGGCATCTCCGTCGGGGTTCGATCCTTCCGCCCCTGCCTTGGGGGAGTCTGGGACGCCCGCGCAAACCCCTCCATTCTGGAAAAGCCGTCAGCCGTTCCATAAATACATCGGAGCAGAAAGACCTTCCTACATGACTGAGAACCGTCATTATAAACGACCCGGGGTGGCAGAGGGCTGGTTTTTAAAGCGGGGTGGGCAGAGAGCAGCTTCTTGCTTATTTGTATTTACTTGTGTTTGAGAATCAGGTGGTAGGAGAGGGGCCTTCTCTGTGCCAGAACCCTTCTTCCTCCCTCTGAGCCAAAACGTGGCCTCTGAGCCCCGAGCCTGTTCCTCAGCCGAGAGAGAAAAAGGAAAGAGACAAGACTCAGGCAGTTGCCAGTCGTTTTTGTGAAATATTTTTATGAAGGGAAAACACTGGCCTTTTTTTTTAAGTGCCCTCTGGCCACACCTGGCAGGGCTGGGGACTGAACCGAGGCCTCTTGTGGGCAAGGCCTAGGCTCGAACCCTTGAGCCACACGGCCCCTGTCCTTCGCTCGTGCCGCTCCTGAGCCCAGCAGGGTTGGTTCCCCGTGGGGCCGGGACTGGAAAAGTACCGGGAGGGCTGGGGGCGGGGGGGGGGGGGGAGCCAGGGGGCCTCCTGTGCCCAGCTGCCATGCCCGCAGGCCTGGCCGTACCCCCCTGCTGCCCACGGCCATCCCTGCCTGCCGCCGAGGGAGGCGAAGGTGTGGCGGGGAGAAGCTTCCGAGCAGACTCGGCGCCTGCCCGTGGGTGGCCCCGGCAGGTGCCCGTTCCACGCGGGCATCTATATTTAGGCGTGGGCATGAGGTGCCAAGGTAAAGAGAGGCAGGGCGCGGCCCCGGGCTGCTGGCCTTGGAGCGTGGCGCTCGCTGGCTGGCCCCACGGCCCGGCTCACAGAGGCCCAGTGTTCGCGCTGGGGGTGGACGCGCCCTCTCCGGAGCCGCAAGGCCGTCCACCAGGCAGACGGACCCCGCGGGCTCTCGGGGCCCTGCTGTGAGCGGGCCTGTCGCGTCCAGGGGTTCGCCGACCACAGCTGGAAGCTGCCGCCTCCTGGCTGGGCCTCCGGGGCCTTCCCTGGCCCAGTGAGTGCTGGGCAGCAGCTGGGTGCTGGCCTCCCCTTGTTCGTACTCCCAGGCCCCGTTTCCTTCTCTCCAGGAGTCAAGTGTAGCAGCAAAGGGGGCATCCAGACTGCGGTGGGCTCTCCTCTCCTGCCCCCTTCACCCCCCAGCCCTGCAGGCCCGGCCCCGCACAGGGGCTCCCAGTACTTGCTTTACTGATGGGTTTTTTTTTTTTTTGGCTTTTTGGGTCACATCTGGTGGTGCACAGGGGTTCCTCCTGGCTCTGCACTCAGGAATTACCCCTGGCAGTGCTCAGGGGATCATACGGGATGCTGGGAATCGAACCCGGGTCGGCCACGTGCAAGGCAAACGCCCTCCCCGCTATGCTATTGCTCCAGCCTCGCTTTCCTGATGCTCTGAGAGGCTGCGAGCGGCCAGTCTACAATTGCGCGTCCTTGCCCAGGGTCACCTGGCCAGTGAGTGACCCACACAGGCGAGCCCGGCTCTCCACTGCTCTTCCCACCATGCTGAGGCCTCTGGTGGTGACCCGGGGTCCGCTCAGGGTGACCTGTCTGCGGCCACTCATTCAGTCACTCAGCCCATCCAAGGGCGAGTTCCAGGGCCAGTCGCCCACACCAAGCCTCTGACAAGCCGTGTGTGACGCCTGGGGGTGACGGCCTAGCCGGCAGCGGGCGCAGCGGCTCTTGTGGGCTCAGCCGCGGTACCCCGACCCCCCACCCCGACCCTTGCCCAGCCCCGCTCCTCTCTTTGTGACGTTCTGTGGATGGTGAAGGCGAAAGGTTTGTTTGGGTCTGACGCAGCTACATAAGCGTCTCATCCCAGGGAGTGCGAGTGATGGAGGAGGGAAGGCGTGAAGGCGTGAGCGTGTAAATGAATGTATGAGTGAGTGAGGTCGAGGAGTGATCACGCGAGGGAGGGAGTGAGGGAACAGGCGGAGGGAATGAATGAGTAGATGAGTGAGCAAGTGAGTGAAGGAGTGAATGGGCCAGTGACTGCTCAGGGCTTCCTCCTGGCTCTGCACTCAGGAATTACTCCGGGCGGTGCTCGGGGGACCATATGGGATGCTGGGGACCGAACCCGAGTCTGCCACATGCCAGCCGAGTTCCCTCCCTGCTGTACTATCGCTCCAGTCCCTATAAGATATATATTTTTAAGTTCATTTAATTTTGCTTTTTGGGTCACACCCTGCAGTGCTCAGGGGATGGTTGGAACCACACCCAGTGGTGCTCCGGGGTCACTCCTGGCTCTGCACTCAGGGGTCACTCCTGGTGGTGCTGGACCCTGTGGGATGCCGGGATCCAACCTGGGTCAGGCACATGCAAGGCAGAGACACCCTCCCCGCTGGACTATGGCTCCGGCCTCTGAAGGATCTTTTCTTTAAGTCCTATTCTAAGCATGGTTTATTGGACCCTTTTGCTCAGCCCGATGTTCTTGAGACCCAGCTGTGCAGTTCCCTGTGTTGCCTCTGTGGCAGCAAGTTTTACATCATGTCGCATTCACGCACGTGCTGCTGAGTTCTGAATTGCTTCCAGTTCGGAAAGGATCCGGCTAAAGCTCCGGTGTGTACACTGGCTTGTGTTTGGCGTGAGCTGGAGAGACGGCAGCGGGGAGGGCGCTCGCCCTGCACACAGTTCCCCCGGGTTCCATCCCTGACACCCCACACCTGAGCTTTCCTGTCTCCCGGGACGGTCACCTCGTCTGAGGCGCAGGGTGACCAGGTCGTGGATGTAGATGCTGAACTTTCCAAGACCCTCACCAACAGGGCCAGAGCGGTAGTGCCGTGGGTGAGACGTTTGCCTTGGACGCAGCCAGCCCGCGTCGGATTCCACATCCCTTTTGGTCCCTGAGCATCACCGGGAGAAATTGCCGAGCACAGAGCCAGGAGTGACCCTTGAGCACCACTGGGTGTGGTTCCAACCATCCCCCCCCAATAAAAAACAAACAAGACAAGAACCCCCCGACAGTCCCCAGAGGGGCTGTGCCACTTCTTGCACCCACACTTGGAACTGGGATTCTCCGTGGCTCGTGTGTGTGTTGGGGTGTGGGGTCCCCTCGTCTTCCACGCGCCTGTTCTCGCGTATGTGACTCTTGCCTTGCCGGAGCGATTCAGCGTTGCTGGACCGTCAGAATCAGCACAGACGACCCCTGCCCACCCCCCTCCGTTCTTTGGCCTCTTCATTTTCTTAACAGGAGCTTCAAGGGAGAGAAAAGGTTGAATTTGGACAAATTCGAGTTCATTGACTTAGAAATTTCCGATTCCTCTTCTGAAGGTTTTTGGTTTGTTGAAGGGCTTGTGCCTGGCTCTGTGCTCAGGGGTCACACCTGGCAGTGTTCGGGGAACCATAGGAGGTGCCGGGGATCGAATCTGGGTCAGCCGAGTGCAGGACAAGTGCCTTAACTGCTGGACTATCTCTTCAGCCCCTGTGATTGGTTGGGGGGGGGGGGGCACACCCGGCGATGCTCAGGGCTTCCTCCTGGCTCTGCACTCAGGGATCACTCCTGGCCAGGCTCGGGACCATATGAGGTGCCGGGATGGAACTTGGGTCAGCTGCATGCAAGGCAAGCGTCCTCCCGGCTGTGCTGTTGCTCTGGCCCCAACTTTTTTTAAATTTCTGGTACTATAAGTAACCTCGGGAATCTTTGCCTACCCAGGTCTTCTTGGTGCTGGAGTTTGGCCTGGGTTTGCTTGGTTAGGCAGTGCTCAGGGCTGTTCCCACCAGGTAGGCAGAGAACCGGGCAGTACCGGAGCTCGAACCTCGCACATGGCAGAGCCTGTGTCCCGGCCCTGTGGCTGGCCCCCTCCCGGCCCTGTCAGTGGCTTTTTCCTTCTTTTTTTCTTTTTTGGTTTTTGGGCCACCCCTGGCAGTGCTCAGGGCTTTCTCCTGGCTCTGTGCTCAGGGATCCTGGCTGGGCTCGGGGCACCATATGTGGTGCCGGGATGGAACCTCCCGGGCTGGGCGCCTGCAGGTTTCTCCCGCTGTGCTCCGGTCCTCCGGGACTCTTTTCCCTGCCCCTTCCCAGAAGCTGCATGTCCCTTCAGCTGCTCCCTGTGACCCACTTCGCTTGTTTGCCGAACAGACGCCTGCGGTTTTCTGTCCGGGTGTCTGAGTGTCCCGTGGAACATCTCGGTGCTTTCAGTGAGTGCGGGAGGCTTTGAACCTCTCCCTGCAGCCGCCTCTGCCTGCTCTCTGTTCCCCACACCCCACACGGGTCAGGGGCCCATGTCTGTGTCCCCCCACGGTCTCAGCCGGCTGGGGCAGGGACCACGCAGGCCCCTAGTGGCCCTGCCAATGACTCCCCGGGTCCTGCCTGCCAATGTCACCCCATCCCTCAGGGAGCTCAGAGCTGGGGAGGGGGGTCCCCCTGTGTCCCTTCTCTTCTCCCTCCAGCTGTGACCTCTGAACTGGCTCCTCAGGTGGGACGGCGTGGTGCAGACCCACAGCCCCATGGCCCGTGCTTTGCCGGGCCCCTGCTCCAGTGTGGCCGTTGTCCCTGTCGCGTTGGCTGCATGTGTGTCCGAGTACATCGATCACGTCCTAAAGCTTGCTGCTGTCACAGGAACTGCCCCAGTTCTTACACACCAGTGTGAAAACTGTGTTTGGAAGCTGGGAGAAAAGCGAACAAGCCCCTTGTCCCCTCCCCCCGTCCCCAAATTGGCATGTGGGTCCCCTGGACTGGGTGGGGAAGGGGAGTCCGAACACACCTGCCTCCTTATGGGGTCACCTGCTGGTCCCGAGCCCCAGGCTGGGGTCTTGGGTGCGACCCCAGATCCCACCCTAGCCCGAAGGAGGCGGACCTCTCTCAGGAAGGGCCTGGGCAGTGTTTCCCAGCGCAGGGGTGCTGCCCACCAGGGAAGGGGGTCCAGAGCACAGTGGGGGGCGGGGCCCACTGGGGGCACTTCCTGTTTGTGTACCCATAGGAGGAAGGTTTCGGGGGCGCCGAGTGGCCGTTTTCTCCCTGCAGAGCTGTGGTAGCTGCATGAGTCTGGAGGTGTCTGGGAGGGTCTCAGAAGCTCCCCCAAGGCCGTCCTCCTGCTGGTCAGCGCGTGTGGGCTGGACAGGCCAGGGACAGCCCCTGGTTCTGGGTTCAAGCCTCCTCGGCGTGTCCTGGGATGGGAGCCCAAGGCGGCGAGTGGTCCCCGAGCCGGGCTTGGGGGACGGTGAGGGGCAGAGGTACCCACGTTCTATGGATCCTTCCGGTCAGAGGAGATACAGCAGTGACAGGTGGGGGCGGGGTCCCCACACCAGGTGGGCGGGAGAACCTGTCACAGGCCTCCCAGAGCCGCAGGGACCTTGCTGACCCTCACTGGCCCATGCCGGGACCTCCCTGGCCCTTGCCGGTGTGCGTGGGCCCCAGGGGGTCAGCGCCTGGCCCGTAGGTGTCTCACTGCTGACCTGTCCCCTCCCTTTCACCCTCTGCTCGCTTCCTTCAGCCGTGCTGACCTGTGGCCACCCGTCCCTGTGGGCCGCCCTGCGTCCGGCTCCCCAGATGTGGGGGACAAGGGCGCCCTTCTCACCAGTGTCCTACCCCTCCTGGCCACAGGGACAGGACACGGCGTCTCCCCTCCCCCGCTTTCCACGGTGCTTCCTCAGGAGACCTCCCCCGGCCCCTAGGTGTGTCCCCCAAGGTCCAGCCTGGGAACGAGGGGCTGCGGCCCCCCAGCAACTCGCTCTGCAGCCGGCCTGGGCACTGTGCAGAGCCCAGCCATGCCCCTGCTGTGTTCCCCTGGACGGGCCCCGGGCACACTGGCCTGTCGCAGCACCTGGCCCTGGCCTGTGGTCGAGGGGGCGGGGCTTCCTGGCTCCTCTCCCCTGGCCCAGTGCTGCTGGGGGAGGGGGGTCGCAGAGACCCCCAAGTGTGGCCCAGTGGCCACGGGTCTCTGCGCCCCTCTGCACCTCCAGCCACCTGTCCAGGGGCCCCCCAGGGGAGGACTCCCATCCCACAGTCTCTGCCCCTCCTCTCCCAGAACCCCAGGAACGGGCTCCAGAACCCCCAGGAATGGGCCTCCAGAATCCCAGGAACAGGCCTCCCGGCCTGCAGGTTCCTCCCACCCTGGTGACTGGCTGCCGGATGCTAGTGGCTGTCCCCCTGGGTGGCTGCGCCCCCGGCTGCTGGCCCCCCCATGGACATCTCTCATCCTGCTCAGGTGCCTGCAGGCCGGGGTCACTCTCCCGGGCTCCGTGTGTGATGCCTGGGGCTCCCGCCAGCGTGGGGGTGAACAGGTTTGATTTGAGTTTCCCGGGTGACAAAGGCGGCCAAGCAGCTTCTGACATTTTTTTACTGGACGTTTTTATAGTTCGTGACCAGACATGGGCCCCAACTTCAAATTCAGAAACCCAAGAATTCCTCCGTGCGCCTTGGTTTCTCGTGCTCGTGGCCGCGGCCTCTGCCATGGGGAGCGTCCGAGCAGCCTGTTCGCCCATGTCGGGAGCCCGGCGGCGTGGCCTGGGGCCTCGTGGGGACGCGTCTGTCACTTGCCTTGCATGCCAGGACCGTGTCTTTTAGACATAAAGTTCTGCTGTTTCATTATTTTAAAGGGTTTTTAATGTAAAAAAAAAAGCGGCAACTATTGATACAATTCTAGGATTAAAATTGAGAGGTAACAGTGGCGAATAGTAGTATCAGGACATCACTGTCACTATAATCCTGTTGTTCGTCAATTTACTCAAGCGGGCTCCAGTAACGTCTCTATTCCTCCCAGCCCTGAGATTTTAGCAGCCTCTCCTTACTCTCTTTCCCAACGATTGGAGGCTCTTTCAGGGTCAGGGAATGAGACCTGTTATTAGTTACTGGTTTTGGCATATCGAATACGCCACGGGGAGCTTGCCAGCCTCTGCGCGGACGGGTGGGATACTCTCGGTAGCTTGCCAGGCTCTCTCTCTCTCTCTCTCTCTCTCTCTCACACACACACACACACACACACACACACATATATTTCTATGATTTGTTGCCTACTGTCATCAGTACATGAAAATGAATTTATGTGGATATTGTTACATCTGATGGCTGGTTGGTGGGTCCACATCTAAGACCTTATTCAGCTTTTTTGTGGCTTCAGGCAGTGTCGCACGGCCACATATGCTTCCAGACGGTTCCAGATCTATCTGTGGTCTGAGCCAGAGTGGACCAGATGGCCGATGTGGTGGTGAACGGGGCTGCTGGGGTTTCCGGGAGTATGGGGGGTGGGGGAAGAGAAAAAATCCAGAGCTGGGGAGCTGTGCCTGAGGTTATTCGGAGATTGGTGTCTGCAGAGAATATCCGCAGAGCCGTTGAGTTGGGCCTCGGCGTGCTGGGGCCTCGTTTGGCGGATGTTCACCGCCACCCCCCTCGCTTCCCGTGGGTGCCCCGGGGTGTGCAGCGGCGGCAGTCCACAGGGTTTAGCCTCATGGAGCCGTCCTGGGGGCTTTAGTCGGGATCTGGTGGACAGGGCCACGGCGGGGGTCGCATGGTGGCAGAGGTGGATGGGGGGGACTGCTGGTGTGTCTCGTTATTTTTTAAAATGTATTTTTGGTTTTCGGACCACACTTGGCAATGCTCAGGGATCGTCAGCGCCCTACCCACTGTACCATCTTTCTGGCCCCACATTTTTTATTTTTGTTTTGTTTGCAAAATTTGGGGTTACACCCAGTGATGCACAGGGGTTACTCCAGGCTCATGCACTCAGGAATTATTCCTGGCGCTGCTCAGGGGACCACATGGGATGCTGGGAATCGAACCCGGGTCGGCCACATGCAAGGCCAACGCCCTCCCCGCTGTGCTATCGCTCCAGCCCCAGGCCCCACATTTTAAAATGCCAGTTGAACAGAGGATCTTTTCCCACTGAGGGCGTTCTCAGCCCCGCGGGCTGGTGGTCTGGGTCCCGGCGTGGGTCCTCGGGGAGAAGTGAGGCTCCTGTTTCTTTCCCTGCCCCCTGCTGAGGACGAGCAGCGGGGTGGGGCAGGCGGGCGCCACAGCCACGGCCCAGGGGACCCCTGTCCCTGCTCCACCAAGACCGCTTAGACACCCAGCCCCTGATCTGTGTGTAGCCACCAGGGCGTGTCCACGGGCCCCAGACCCACTCCCTCTCTCCCTGAGCCCTGTGCCCTTTGACCCCGAGCACCCCATCCATAGTGCCCCCATCACCCATGGGTCCGTGAGGTCGAGTTTGGCTCTCGCCCCCTGGTATGAAGCGTCTTAATGTCTTTTTATGAAACACGTTCCCGTTTGTTGCTCAGATGACTGAGGTCTCACCCCCGGTGGGGCCCTGGGGGACTCTGCATGGAGCCCCCTGGGACATGCTGCCCCCTTCCAGGCCGGGGAGGGGCAGCCCAGGGCCGAGCCCCAGCAGGAACGCCCAGCCCGGGCTCCTACGGGAGAGGAAATTTCCTTCCCGGCTCTGGGCCTGGCCTGTAGCTGTTTACCTTGGCGCCTCGGACTCTCCCCACCGGCCCGTAAACACCACGTTCTCCTTGGAGCCCACACGCGCCTGCACGAGGTGTCTGTTGCAACCGATTCTAGGAATCTGGGGTCCAGCCCTGGGAAGCTGAGAGTGGGAGAGGCCCCAGGCCTGCCCCCCCACCGCCTCGTGCAGAGAGGGGGCTAAGTGCACGGTGACGCCCCCCCGTGCCCCCCAGGGCACACACAGCCCCTCCCCAGGGCTGGCTGCGGGCGTGAGGGACGGGGAGGAGGGACACGCCACACCCTCGCCAGGTCGTGCAGCGACAGCTCAGCCCTCTCAGCCCTGTGGGTGCGCTGGCCTAGGCCCGGCTGGTAACCCCAGGGGGGCTTCGCGATCAGCAGCGGGGGCGCCCGGGGACGGAGTCTTGGGGCCTGGCACTAAGCATCATCTCTCTCTTCTCCACACAGATCTGGGACATGAGCGATGACGAGACCATCTGATTGTGGCCCCCACTTCGCCCTGCCGAGGGGACCCCCACCACCCGGGCCCCCGTGAGCCCCGATGCCTTGGTCCCCCTGCGCCTCCCGGGAGCTCCCGGCCTCTCCCGTCTCACCGCCCGGTCCCACCCGAGTCTGCGCACAATAATCTTGGCTTTGGCTCCGGCCGGGGACGTGGCCTCCGTGAGCAGTTCTTTGTGCTTGTCCCGGCGTCCGAATTGACCCCAGGGGTGGCTGTGAGGAAGGGGACCACGGGCAGCATCTGTGCCTACTGCCCCTAGAATGTTCTCCCACCCCCGGCGGAAGGAGAGAAGCTTGCCCTGAAGGGCACGGTCCCTTGGGGCAGGCGGAGACACCGCCCCATCCAGGGTCCTCTCCTGCGGCAGCCGGGACCCCCGTTCCAGAGGCTCCGTACCTTCTGCCAGTGTCTCCCGCCTTTTATTTTCTTCTTAGCGTGGCTTTCCATGTCGGAGCTGGGCCCACTCTGACAATGCCTCCCCCCATCCCACAGGGGACCCCAGGTTTAGGGCCAGCAGGGGGGACGCAGTGATCTCGGTACACACACACACACACACACACGCTGTGGTTTAAGAGCACTTTATTAATTGTTCTTAAGGCTACTTTTAAGTACAAAAAAAAAGATGGCCTGCCAAACCTTTTTTTTCTTCTTCTTCCAGGAAAAACAGGCCACAGCGAATGGTATATTTACACACACGGAGGGCGCCCCCCACCCCCCAGGCCCCTCCAGGGGACCCGCCTATCCAGATGCTGGCCTGGCGCCCGAGCCCACCCGCTGGCCACTGGGGGTTGGGGGGGGGGGGGGCGCCCGGCCCGGCCACGGCTCCCAGGGCCTGCAGCGAGTAAGGCAGACGCAGTGTTCTCATAGAATAACTGTGTTCCTGCACTTTCAGACAAATCTACGACAAAAAAAAGATCAACTTTTTTTTTCCAAACAAACAAAACAAAAAAAAATGATTACAATAGGAATGGGAAAAATTAAATAGCTACATATCATTAACAAATTAATTGTTCTTCAAAAAATACCTACAAATTTCTCTGTACATTCCTTACGCACAGCGTAATGATGGTCTTAAAGTCACCTATATAAAAAAGTGTTCTCCACGAGTTTCCGACGGCAGAGACGGGGCCTGGCGTGGGACCAGGAAGCCCAGTGGGGGGTGAAATCTAAGCGGGGCGGGAGACCCCCCCACAAGCACCGCCCGCCTCCCGGCCGCCCCCTGCCCCAGACCCAGCCGGCCGCCTGCGGTTCCCCTCCTGAGAACCAGCCTCCTGGAGGCCGGAGGCCGCGCCTGGCCCCACAGTGACCTTGCAGGGCGGCCGGAATGTAGCCGGGTGGGGCCGCGCGCTGGCCCCCGAGGAGCCGCCAGTGGTCCCCTCCACCCCCAGCTTTGTCAGCCTCGCTCCTCCTCCGCCCAACTTCTAGTTAGTAGCTAAACCTACGCGAGCGATAGATAATACAGGGTTAACTGCACCCAGGCAGAGGAATGTTCACGGGCGCCCACGGGAGCGCGCGCCCAAGCACGGATTGTCGCGATCTGGGCGGCGGGAGAGAAGGTCCCCGCACCCCGGGGAGTGACCCCTAAGCAGCCGGGGAGGGGGGAGACGCGAAGGGGGGCCGCCAGCCCGAGCCCCCGCTCCCGTCGCCAACTGGACCAGCAGTGGGTGTGTCTCGGACGGTGACTGGGGCCCCCAAGCCAGGTCTGGGGCGGGCACGAATAGAAACCAGCTATTGCGCCCCGAGGGGCCGGCGGCGCCCCGGAACCCCGCGGTGCCCGAGAGGCTGCAGGCCAGTAGCAAGCACCTGCCGCAGAGGACCCCACCCCCCTTCCCAAGCGGGCCGTGGACACCCAAAGCCACATGCGCACGTGCCCGCGATGGGAACTGCCCCGTCCAAGCCCCCGCCCCCCAGCCAGCCCCCCGCCTCCTTAGTGCAAATCAGACGCGCCAGCTGCGCTCTGCGCTTCCCCGAGAGGCGCGCGCGGAGGGACACGTGCGCCCGTCGGGCTGGGGACGCACGGACGGACATGTGCACAGATGGACACGCGCATCCGCCAGGCTGGGGACACGCGCACGGACGGACACGTGCACAGGTGGACACGCGCACAGGTGGACCTGCGCATCCGCCAGGCTGGGAAGGCGCGCATGGACGGACACGCGCCCCCACTGGGTTGGACTCAGGCCGGGGTCCGCAGTGGGCAGCCGCCTGCAGGAGACGGTTCTTTGGTGACCGAGGCAGGAAGCTCAGATGCCCCGCGCAGGCCCTGCTGTCGGGGTGCGGCCCCCACAATTCCAAGCACGGACAGAGGAACAGAATCCCAACAGGGTCCTTGGGGATGAGCCCCCTCCCCTCCCTCCCTCCCACCCACCCTGCAATTTTTGTTTTTTTTTTTCTTTTTTCCTTTTTCTTTTTTTTCTTTTTTTTTTTAAAGCACGGACTGTTCAGAAGCTCAGGCAAACCATGCAGGCGGAGTCCCCCGGGCGCGCGCGCGCCCCTTCAGGAGAGCACGGAGGGCGAGTGGCCGTGGCTGACCATGTGGGCCGAGGGGCTGGCTGGCTGGCCGCGGCGGGAGGCCGACTCGGGGCTGCTGGAGGCGCCGTCCTTGGCCGCTTTCAGCTGCAGCCACGTGTCGCCCAGGGCTTTGGCGAAGTGGTCGTCCACGGAGCCCGTGATGGACACAGAGTTGGGCGCGGGCTCGGGCTCCTTGTAGTTCTTGCCCAGGCTCCGGCGGAAGTGCTCCTCTACCACGGGGTCGCAGGCGGTGGTGGCTGCGGGGGTCACGGGTGGGGCGGTCAGGGCGCAGAGGACACCGGGGTCCAGGACCGGGGCCGTGCCCAGCCCCCAGCCCCCCGCCCCCCCCCAGGCCTCAGCGTCCAGGGCCCCGCCCCAGGTGGGGACACTTACACGTGGGCGCCCTCCGGTAACTGGCAGGCCCGGCCGCGCAGCCGCTGTGCGCGATGGGGCAGTGCGACAGGTTGCAGTTGCGGGCGCTGGCTGAAGCGCACGTGATCACCGACGGCCGGTTCTGGGGGACAGGGGTCAGTGTGAGCGTGACTCGGGAGACCCCTGATGCTCAGGGGGCGCTGTCTGTCCGGACTCCAGGCCACTGGAGGCCTGCGATGCCTGGCGCGCCCCCGCCCCCCACCAGCCTCTCTGGGTCTGAATCCCCCTGCACCGTCCCCTGCTCCTTGGACGGGAACCCGGCTGCCCAGCGGTGGTGACAGTGACATGTGGGGTGCACATGAGGGGGCCCCGACTCTCATCTGCACCCACATCAACACAGCGAGTGGCCAGGGGCCCCCACTCCCCACTTCCCCAGGCCTGCCCAACGTGCCCCTCTGAGGATGGGGCTCCCCAGCCACGTGGTCCGAGTGACCTTATCCTGAGCTGGATGTGGGGGGGGGGGGGGGGGCCGCCCTGCTGGCCAGGCCTGGCCCTTCCTTCCTGGCCCCCTGCCCATGTGGACCCCGCCCTCTCCTTGCCCTGTGTGTGGCTCCCACACCGCTGGCCAGACAAGTGTCCCAGCAGCCCACCGGGGGAAGTGACCCAGGGGTGTGAGGCTAAAGGCCACACCCGCCTTGACGTCAGAGCTGTCCAAGCAGGAAGCCACTCCCAGGTGGGGTTCCCAGGGCAGAGGGCACCCCCCCCCCACCAAGGGTCAGTGCCCAGCCTCCCACCGCCCCCTCTAAGCTTGGGGGCGCCCACAACTAAAGTGGCCACGTCCACTAAGCCAGCTGGAACAGCGTCCCTGAACACCACCAGAGATTCCCGGCAAGTTTAGGGCAGCCCCTAACCCCAACCCAAAGCGAGGAGAACCCCTGCAGGACCACCCAGTGCCCTGGTATCGTGGGTAGTCCCCTCTCCTCCCAACCAGCCCAGCGCTGGGCCGGAAGCTGCCCTTTCCACGAGGCCCCACGTGGACACGGGAAGGGTGCCGGGACGCCTGGGCTCAGCGGGTGGGGCTGCCCCCTTCCTGCCCGAACCACAGGTGGGAACTGGGCCCCAGGAGGCTGGGGGAACTTCCCGTGCTCAGAGCCCCCCTACAGAGCTGGGGGAAGCCAGACCCGGCTCGGGAAGGAGGAGGGAGACCCCGGGGAGGAGGGCCAGTCACCCCACCTGAACAAAACAATGGGGCCCCCAAACTAAGCCCCCAGACCTGGCTACGTCCTGGAAAACTAAGGGGTCTTACAGCTTCACAGACGCTAACAGCGGGCCGGACCCCTTGACCTGGGAGAGAGGGGCCATGGGAACAGCGCACGGGCCCCCACATTCCCTGGGAAAGCTCCCCGCCATAGGGCCGTGGCCAGGGGCTGTTCTTTCTGGCCGAGAGCACCCACCACCCCAGCCAGTCCATGTCCCCCACCTTCCTGGAGGTGAGGGCAGGGGTGGTGGAGCTCCAGAGAGGGTACCCCCAGGTTCTGCCCAGACCCGGGTAGTCACGGGTGCACAAGGTGTTGGGGGGGGGGGAAGGGGTCCTGTGGGCACCCAGACAGGCTGAGCAGTCCGCAGGGAGGGGCTTGGGGGAAGTCCCTGCCCCCAGGGTCTCATGTGGGACCCCCAGTCTCAAGGTGGCAAGAGGCCTCCTCCTCCCAGTCCCTTCCCCGCTCAGGGATCGCTCCTGGTGGTGTTTGGGGCTGGAACCCGGGTCAGCCGCCCTCTCTGCTGTCCTTTGGCTGCGGCCCAGGGCCCCGCCCCCCCAAGCACACAGCAGCCGTCCTGGGCTGAAGCCGTCAGGCCCTGCCAGGCCAACGCGACTCGGAAGTGGGTCTCTGGGCCTCCAGCTTCGTGACAGAGAAGCACCTGGGGCGACCCCCAAATGGGGATATCCGGGGGCTGGGAGTGGAGCCGCCCCGGGGCCCCGCGTACCTGCTGCCGCTCGCCCGCGGTGGGCGGGAGGCCCGGGGCACGGCCGCCATCGCCGCTGTTCTTGGTCAGGGCCAGGGGTAGCTCGGCGCCGAGGCTGGGTGGTGAGAAGAGGCGGCCGCCGTGCAGGCCCAGGCCGGGGGCCACGGCGCGCTCCACGGGGCTCCGGCTGCGCTCCCGGGGGTCCTTGCGGCAGTCCCCGTTGGCCGTCTTGTTTCTGGGGGAGAGAGGGGGGGAGCTCAGAGGGGGGACACGGACACTTCCTCGGCACAGAGCTGGCACCGGGGCGGAGGTGCTGGGGGGTGCAGCGTCATGAGGGCCCGAGGGCCCCCTGAGCATGGCGGGACATGCCCTGGGGAACGCAGATGGCAGGGTGGGCAGTGGGAGGCACGAGCCCCCCACCCGGGCACCCACGGTGGTGCTTGCTCTGCCCGTGCTGTGTGTCCCCCAGGGCTGCCCAGCGGTCAGTCTGTTCCAGGCACTCCCTGCATGTGGCCTGCCACGTCTGGGTCCCCGTGGCCGGGCTGTCCCCTCCATCCAGGTCCCCGTGGCCGGGCTCCCAACCTGCGGGGCGGCAGACTCGCAGGCCCACCCTGAGTGTGCTCCTGCCAAGCCCCGTGCGGCCGAAAGAAACAAGTGGGCCTGGCGCTCACCCCCACACCCCTGCGGTGCCCCGCCCACCCCCTCTCACTCGGCACCCGGGCCAGGGGCCATACAGGCTGCTGCTTGGCCCTGTGCCTCTGCGCCCCAGGGCTGTCCCCACACAGCCGACCCCAGCTGCATCTGTCCCCCTCTCAGCACGCACACTGGCCCCTGGGTGGGACCTCAAGTACCCGTGCGTGTCCTCCATGCGTCCCCCGTGCCTGCTCTGGGATCTCTGCAGCCCTGCACCCCGGTCCCGGGGCTTCAGAGGGATGGTGTCCAGCCAGCTTCCTGCCCGGCAGCCCGTGGGCAGTATACCCCTGGGCACCCCGGGAGACCAGACTAGGAATAGAAGCCCGTGGATACGAGGTGGGAGTAGGGGACTGGGGGACCCATGGACACGAGCGGCACTGTGGGGAGGAAAGGGGTCGGCTCAGCACCCGCGGGGGCACGCGAACCCCAGCCACGGAGCCTCTCAGGGTGGAAGAGGAGCCCTCACGGGCCTCATCGGGGCCGGGGTGCTGCCTGGCAGAGGGCGGGTGGCCCCACCGGTGCTGGTGGGCTTCGTGAGACCACGGCGCCTGCACCTCACCCTGCTGAGACACAGACACATGTCGCACACGTCGCAGCCATGACTTCCCGTGGCATGGCCCCAACGGGTGGGTGCTTCTAGGAGCAGCTGCCGCCTCCCATGGCCATGGGGCTCCCCAAGGCACCTCAGGGCTTCGGCGGCTCTGGCAGTCCCAAGGCGGGACCGAGTCCCAGGCAGGGGACGCATGGTCATTATCTGGGCGCCTTCTGCTGCTGTAAGACTCTGAGCCGTGGGTGCTGATGTCCCACCCACAGGGGCTGGCCCCGGGCGCAGGAACTGGGGCGCAACAGGCCGGCCATGGCCCGGCCTTCCTCCAATGGGAACCAACCCCCCCACGGTCGGAGACCCCGGGCCAAGTCACAGGGAGCCCAGCTGTGCTGAGCAGGGCTAAGCAGGGGTGGGGGGGGCTTAGTGGGGGGCACACCTGCTCCCTGCAGGGGCACAGAAGGTCTGGGCATGGGGCCCCTGGAGACCTGACTGGGAGGCGGTGCAGGTTTGAGACGAGGTCTGCTGGGGGGGGCTTGGCGCCACGTGAGGACCACCCAGCCGCACCCCCGAGGGCACGGCCTGAGCCGGAAGACGGGACAGCGGGGAGGGCGCTCGCCTGCACACGGCCCACCCAGGAGTGATTCCTGAGCACGGAACCAAGAGTCAGTCTGCCGCCAGCCGTAGCCCAGAAAACAAGAAACGGGGAGACACAGCTGGGCAGTGCCCCCCCCACTCCAGGCCCCCGGGGCCCAGGGAACAGCCGAGGCACGGGGCAGGAACGGGAGCTGGCGGGGAGCGAGGAAATGCCAGGCAGGCACCAGCCTCGCCTGGGCCCCCCAGCTCCACACGCCCCTCCCCCCGGCACCCAGGAGACCAGCCTCAGGCCGCGCGTGGGCATCTGCACGGGTGGTGGGTGGGTTTTTCTTGTGGGTGCACGGAGGGCGTCTGGCTTATCTCTGTGGGCCCAGATGCCTGTCGCCACTGAACCTTGACCCCTGACAGGCCAAAGCTCTGGCCCTGGGTCTCCGCAGGTGGCGCCCAACCAGCCTGACCAGGACCCCTAAACATGACACAGTGCCTGGACTCACCCCCCAAGAGGTGCCCCAAAGGCCCAGGGCTGCCGGCAGCAGCGGGTGACCCCCCCCAGTTTCTGGAGCTGCCCACCCCTTGGCTTCATCTGAGACTCACCCCCAAAATGTTTGCTTTTGGGGAGTCACAGCTGCTATGCCCAGGGGCCATCCAGGGTGCTGGGGACAGAACCCGGCTCTCAGGCCCAGCCTCCTACCCAGTGCGTTCAGAAAGCCTCCTGGACATCTCCAGAGGGGTCACTCACACCCAACAGATGGCCTGTCATTGGGGGGTCACTCCAGAGATGACTGTGGGGGGCCGTCGGCCAGGCAAGCTCAGAAACAGCCCAGGAAGCCCCCCCCCAACCCCACCGGCCCGAGAGAAAGCGAAGAGGCTCATGGGCCAAGTTCAACCTGGAAATCCCAGGCCCAGAATATTCAGGGGGGACAAGAATGACCCCGTGGGCAGGCCTGAACCCACCAGCTGGCCCCCAGCTGACCAGCACCCCGAGATTAGGCCAAGTGTGAGCACTGGACCCTTTTCTCTCCGCCTGAGCAGAGCAGGTGGGGACCAGCTGGGGGTGGGGACAGCTGGGGGGGCAGGGGACCCTTCCTGAGCAGAGTCCAGGTGGCAGGGCCCAGCCACATGGGTGGGGTGGGGACCCCCGGCGGCCACGCGGATGAGGGTGCTGGAGCCCTGGGGACCAGCAGGGCCTCCAGGATTTCCACCGCTCCTGCTGGCCCCGGAGGCGCTCCCAATCCAGGGAAACTGAGTCACCGGCTGCAGGGCCCAGCTCTGCACAGACCACTCTGCTCTCGCCTCAGAAATGATCCATGCTGGGGGGGCTGGAGCGATAGCACAGCGGGAAGGGCATTTGCCTTGCACGTGGCTGACCCAGGTTCGATTCCCAACATCCCATATGGTCCCCTGAGCCAGGAGTAATTCCTGACTGCAGAGCCAGGAGGAACCCCTGTGCATCACAAGGTGTGACCCAGAAAGAAAACAAAATAAATAAATAAATAAATGAAAGAAAAAAAATGATCCACGCCAGGGCCAGGCCCACTCCCACCCCCAGCTCAAGTGTCACCCAGTGCCCAGCGGCTTTGGGGACCGACCTCACCTAGCCTCTCTGTGAATGGGGCGCCGTCAGGGGCGGGGAGGTAGGTGAGTGGGGATGTGGGGAACTCTGGGTCCCCCCTGGGCCCGGGGGAGGGGTCACGTGGTCCTCAGCTGCAGCCCGGCACCCCGAGAGGAGGCCCAGGAGAGACAGGACTGTGGGAGCAGGGGTGGGGAAGGAAGCTAAGAGCCCCCCAACCCCACTATGAGCCCACTGGCTCAGAGAAGGCGGAACTGGGCTGGCCCCAGGCTTGGCTTTGCCCAGAAGTGGCCACTCAATGCCTGGACGGACAATCAGGAAGTGACCAGCTCACCATTGGCCCCAGGGGTACTGAGGAGACCAGGCCGCCAGCAAACTCCTACGGGGGTGCCACTTCCCTTTTGGGGGGGGGGGGGGAGATGCACACCCAGCAGTGCTCGGGCTTGGTGCTCGGGAGCCGCAGGGTGTCAGGAGAGAAGTGGGCTGGGCCAGCACCTCAGGGAGACTGAGCAGTGTCCCCCTGGGGTCCTTCCTGCTGGTGACCCCTTCCCGGCAAGACCCTCTCCTGCAGGGGCAGAGCCGACCCCTGGGTTCCCCGAAAGGCTGCAGGAGACACTGCAAGCACCCCGACCTCAGTCTCAAGTGGGTGGGGGCTGGCTTGGGTTACACCCCGCGGGATCTGGGGGCCCAGGCAGGGGGGTGGGCGTGGGGGTCGGGTGCCTGGCCCCATTCCCGGGGCAGTACCGCACTCCCCACGGCACACACGACTTTCTCCGCCAGCTGCCCGGTCACTCTTCCTTGGACCCAGGACCCCTCCCAGGCCTGGCAACCTTAGACACGGTCAGCACTGAAAGGGCCACTCCAGCCTCGATGGCCCAACTCGGGCCTCAGAGGCACGTGGAGCGCTGGCTCGCCCAGGACCAGCACCCCCAGGCCCGAGGCCTGTCTGGGCAGGAAGGGCAGTGGGCAGCACTGCAGATGCACAACAGCAGCTCCTCGGCGCGCCCGGGGCCCGGACAGGGCACAACCCCACGGCCCCCGCGTCTGTTCCCCTGCTGGGGCTCAGCCACTGGCCCCAGGGGCGCCTTCCCCTTCTAACCGAGCCTGAAGGGTCCTGCTGAAACTCTCGAGCTTCGAGTCCCCCTGCATGGGGGGCCGCTGAGGCTGATGGGGACACCCCAGGGGGCCAAGGATCCTGTGTCCTTCCCGGCATCCAGAGAGCTCACCGGGCAGCCACCTCTGGGCCCCATTTCAGTTCTCGGGGTTTACCCCACTGTGGGCTGCCGGGGGTCTGGAGGGTCCTTTGGGGGCTATTCGGCACTGCCCACCACGTTGTATGTAGGACTGTAGCACTGTCCTCCCGTTGTTCATCGATTTGCTCAAGCGGGCCCAGTAACATTGTGAGACTTGTTATTGTGTTTGGCATATCGAATACGCCACAGGGAGCTTGCCAGGCCCTGCCATGGGGGGCGGGATACTCTCGGTAGCTTGCCGGGCTCTCCGAGAGGGGCGGAGGAATCGAACCTGGCTCAGCCGGGCTGGCTGCGTGCAAGGCAAACGTCCTACCCACTGTGCTATCGCTCCAGCCCACTGTAGGACTACACGGTAAGTATTAAGGTCCCAGAGCCGGGCCCCAGGAAGAGTGACCAGGGCGGCTCGCGGAGAAAGTTGCCTGTGCTGTGGGTGTCGGGGGCCGGGGAGGTGTGCCAGAGACCACTCCCAGCAGGTCTGCACTGACCAGGCCAGGGGGACCCAGCAGCTCAGACCCCCAGCAGTGATTGGAAGGGTGGGACCCTGGAGTGCCCAGGATTGAACTGGGGTCTGACCACTG